CTTCTATCCATTTTTCTCTTTCTAAGATAGGTCAAATTACTAATTTCTTTCCAGTTAATACAACTGTATGGCCCATCTTTTGAGATTATGAATGAGAGAGAAAACCTTTATCCATTTATCTGTACCAGCCTTCTTTTATTTATAGGAAGCCCTTACTTATTTTCAAAGAGTTCCATTCAAAGGTAGCTTTTTGTAGGGATAAAATACTTCTACTTCTACAAGGCAGGAGAACAGATTTTTGCCAGACCCTCCAGTTTAATCTAGCTCCCAATGTCCTCAGAACACCTGTTCTAGAAGATTGGGAAAAAGAAGGGCTGCCCCACCACGTGCATAGCTCCAAGTCATCCTTGGATACAGTACAAATAGATCTCACTAACTGAAAGGATATTTTTCTATATCCTCCCCTTCCTTACCGTTAAGGCGGTATATAAATTGACACATGGATTAGCGATACTAGGGTCTCTCAGCTACACATTCAAGGTAGCAAATGATAGATGCAAGTGATGTAAAATACAAAGAGTTATTCACATAGCAGAATGATGCGTAACTGTTGAGTTCTTGCTGGAGAAATTATAGATCATGTGTTTAAACAGACTTTTGTTTTTTACCCCAGGTACGGTGACATGGTGCCGAAGACAATAGCTGGGAAGATATTTGGTTCCATTTGTTCCCTGAGTGGGGTCTTAGTCATTGCTCTTCCAGTTCCGGTCATTGTCTCCAACTTCAGTCGCATCTATCATCAGAACCAACGAGCCGATAAGCGCAGGGCACAAAAGGTGCACTCCTTCTTTCCATTGTATAGGATGTGTGTTGTCATTATAGATATGGGATGTATGTGGTCTCAATGCAAAGTATGTGTCTGAAACTACTTTTAAGATGTTCTCCCCAAAGGATTCCCTGGTTGAGTTGGTTGGTTAGTTAGTTGGTTTAACCGTTAACTGAAAAACACACATTCTAAATTTGTAGGTGAAAAAACCTGCCTCATATCACATACCAGCATATACTGTGATTCAGAATATCTTTGAATGGGATTCCACAGAAGAAGAAGCTGGTTTTGGTGAATGTTCTAGACATCTATTCTAGCAAGTTGCAGAATTTCCTAATCTGTGTGAGAAAATGTACAAATGGCATGGTGAATTTGGGGTCTGAGTATCCATTCTGTCTTAAGTAAGAAAGGGACCACTTTACCTTCCATGAACTGTATACTCGTGGAAGGGTAGTTTAGAATCTGACTCATAATTACTGAATTTCTATGTTAGATTAGATTGAATGAAGGACTCAGTGAAACCACAGCATAAGCCAGCGATTCCCAAACTGTGTGCTGCAGTGCTTGAAGGATATTTTAAATTTTTAAGGGAAATATGGCAATACATGACAACTGTCAGACACTGCACAGTTGAACTACTAGCTCAGAGTAGTTCACAGTTTTGATCTAGGGAGTCCATGAAAAAATTACTGAGATACTAAAAGCACTGTGGACTCCTCCATAAACTATAAAAACATGGAGAAACATTTTATGGGTGTGTATACACACATGGACATACCCACACACATTTCTTTCTTTCTTTCTTTCTTTCTTTCTTTCTTTCTTTCTTTCTTTCTTTCTTTCTTTCTTTCTTTCTTTCTTTCTTTCACCAAAAAGCTTTGAATGGGTTTTGTTTTTGTTTTGCTTTTTATGAAGAATCTGTATAAATTTCAAAAAGCATTATTAAATTTTCCAAAAGTACAAATATAATACAATTTTTTAATTTTAGCAGTTATATGGATGAACATATTAAGAGACAATCCAAAAATATTTTTAAGGGTGGAATTCTGTTTATTTACTGGTTTATTTTAAAATACTACCTTTCAGTCTATCAGATTAAACTAGCTCATCATCATTGCCCGCAGTCATAAGGTGATCTGTTAGTTTTGGCTCAATATGACGAGTGAACCATTATAATACAGGTAGTCCTCACTTACTGACTGTAATTGGGTCCGGCAACTCCATCACTAAGCAATGTGGTCGTAAAGTGAAACATCATGTGACTGCACCCGATTTACATCAGTTGTCCATTCCAGCTGCAGTCATTAAGCAAATCACCTGTGGTCATTAAGTGCGACATCACATCACCATGACTTGCGACTCAAACACAGTTAAAAAACAACAACTTTGTGATAATAATAATTAAGCAAAGAGGTTGGCTGACATTTTCATATAGAACAAAAGCTAAGTGCAACTTATGCTCAGACAGCTATTCCTTCAGGAACTACAAATCCTCTACAAATCCTCTAATGTATGAGGAGATAAGTAAAAGAAACTTTTAGCAGTTTAATCCAACACATGTCTGCTCTGATGACAATATTTTCCTTGTCAATTTTAAGGCTAGTTGCTGTATTTGTTATTATTAATCTGGTCTTCTTTAAATTAAATCTTAGTCCCATTTTTTCACTGTGCTCCTTGACATTCTTTCTAGAGTAATGTCATCAGCATAGTTATTGATGTTTCTCCAAATTTAAAACTATACTCATCTTCTAATCCATTTTTCCTCAGTATATATTCAGCATATCAATTGAATAAATAAGAGAGTATACAGCCCCATCTCATTCCTTTGCTGACCTGAAGTCAGTCTGTTCCATCTGGACGGTGGTTTCTGACCAGTGCATAGGTTTTACATGAGGACAGTGAGGTATTCTAGGATTCCCATTTTCCTAAACACATTCCACAGCTTGATATAAAGAACACAACCAGAGGCTTTTCCATAATCAATGAAACACATATTAACTTCTTGTTGGTATTCTTTGACTTTCTCAATTATCCAGCATGCATCAGGATGTTTCTCATATTTTCCTAAAGCTAGCTTGAATGTCTGGTGTATCCATGTGAGGCTCTAATCTGTGTTAAAAGATGAATTGATTATTTTTACTAGCATGTGGGATATTATGTGATAGGTTGCTCACTGTTCTCTCTCTCTCTCTCTCTCTCTCTCTCTCAGTGTTAGTATGTATAGACTAATGTCTTACAATCTTTTGGCCACTGTAGCCTTCTCCAGATTTGCTGACATAAGTTAGTTAGAACCTTTACCGATTCTTCTTCTGTTCCTTGCCATATTTCTGTAGATATTCCACCAATACCTGTATCCTTCCAATTTGGAGTGCTGATCTAATCATCTTCTATTACTAGAGGTTCTTTTAAGTGGTGAATATCTTCAAGAGTATTGTGGAGGAAAAGCTCAAAGTTACTGACCTGAGTTTTCCATCCTTATGAATTGTCTGCCTTCTTTATGGATTGTTCCTTGAAACCTTAAGAACAAAGAACCACACTCGTACTGCAGGGAGATAAAAGAGAAATACTGGAAGTACAAGGTGAGAGGGTTGGTGGAAGAGGGAAAGGAGAGTGCATTGGAGACTGGAGAGAAAGCCAGTCATGCGTGGAGGAGGTGAGACCAAAATAGTCGGTGGAGTGAGCAACAAGCCTTGGAAGCTACAACAGCCGAGAAAGGAGTAGCAGAGCTTTACAGCCTCACAAGCCTTCCAAAGATGCAGATGAGCTACAGCTAGCAGCAAACAATTGTTTTCTCCGTCCTACAGACTGATAAGGACTAAGAGCCAGAGGAGCAATTCAGTAAAAGGGAGCAATTACAAGGCTAGGAAAAGACTAGGATATTACTGCCTTTATTGCTGTAAAAGATGGGCAGTTAAAGAAACAAAGAGGAAAAAGGAAACTTATAACTGTTAAATGTTGCCACTATGCCATATCACTTATAATTAGGCACATATAGGTAGATTAGTTGTATATATTAGGTATAACACAATAGAAGTATATGTTTTGTGTAATAAATTAACATTGTGCAAATATCAAAGGAAAGCATTAAGCCTCTTAGTCTGTGGTTTGTACCATAACTTAACTGGAACCCTCTCATAGGTATCTTGGTTGCTGACATCTCTACTGTTCAGAACTTCAGAATCCTTCATCCATCTTTCCTTGATCTTTTTTGAATCAGTGATTATCTGTCCATTGGTGTCCTTTAGCTTACCAATTCAAGATTAGAATCTCCTTCTGAGCTTGAAGATCTTTGGAAGACTTTGCTTGTTTTTCCTTATCTGTTTCCACTTCAATGTTTTTATAGATGCCTTTGTAATGCTGCTTCTAGTCTCTTATCACAGCTCTCTAAAGTTCTTCATTAAATACCCATCTGGGGTCTTTGCCTTTATTGGATTTGGTTTCTCTTCTTTTCTTGACAATTTCCATTCGTTGTGACATCCAGCTTGGTTTCTTCTGTTTCTTGATCTTTAGCAGTCTTTTTTCACATTCATCCTTAATAACTTCTTCAGTTCATTCCACAGTTCTTCTGGTTCCCTACCAACAAGGTTCGGGATTCAAAATCATTCCTGAGGTTCTCCTTGAAAATTGTGGGTTTATGCTCAAGATCATAACATGGAAAGTAGTTGGCTATGTTCTTCCACTTTACCTTGAATTGGAACTTTCCCATGAAACATTCATGACAAATATGCCCCTCGTGACATATTTGCGGTTATAACTGAGCTCTTTCACCTGCTTGTACCAGTAGTATAGTCAATTTGATTTCTGTGTACTCTATTTGGTGATGTCTATATATATATAGACAATATATATATATTGTTTGGTTTTTAGAAGACTGTGTTAACAATGAAGAAATCATTGGATTGGCAGAAATTGATAAGTCATTCTTCTGCTTCATCTCAGTTTCTTAGTATAACCATATTTTCCTCATAAATATTTCCAGCGTTGGTGTTCCAGTCTCCAACCACAAGTAGCACATCTTGCTTGCATGTTCTGAATTTGAGCATAAAACTTTCATCAACCTTCTCTTTTTCTGCATCAGTGGCTGGAGCATAAACTTATACAATCTTCATATTAAAAAGTTGTCCATGAAGTCTAATTGATAATCTGTCATTGATTGCACTGTAGCTCAATGGTCTTGTTATATCTTTCCTAACTATGAAAGCAATGCCATTCCTTCTTTGTTTTTGATGTCCTGAGTAATAAATAGTGTGATCTTCTGACTGAAAGTGTCCAATTCCAAGCTTTCTCAATTTGATGTCAATGTTTAGTTGATTCGTTTCATCTTTCTCTGTGTTGAGTTTTCCCATTTTCATGCTTCTTGCATTCCATGTTCTTACTGTAATTCTGTTTTGCAGCTTTGGATTTTCTTTTCCTGCATGCAACATCAGCAGATGTCCCAAAAGCTTTGATCTAGCCATATCATAAACGCCATTAGTATTCTGAAAAATCCTCAACTTTTCCTGAGTTGAATGTTGAGTGCCATCAGATGTGAGAGATCCATCATGCAGCATTATGTCATCATTCACTTCATATTGCCTATCCATGTGGTTTTCTTTGTAAAATCAGGACTGGTTTACCATTGCCTTCTTCCATACAATATGAAATATATCTTTGCTGTTGTCACTAAAGCAATCATTTGCCTTGAGCATCTTCCTGTATCACTGATGCCAAATATAGATGCCTCCTTGCATTAGCTGGGCAACTAAGATGACCTTCACACTAGGAGTGATGCACACTCCTAGTGCTGATCTCAAAAAACTCACACAGTCCAACTAGTTAATACGTACCAGGGAACCCCAGGGCAATAGATTAGACTAGAGAGGAAAAAAAAATCCCAGAGGTAACAATGGTGATCAGTTTCATATTACAGCAAAGAGAACTACTGTATATGGAAGCAGTACGAATTGAGTTTGTCTCAAAGGACATGTGATTTTTATTTTAGTTCAATTGCTGTGATTTTTCAAAAAGGAT